ATCAAACCAGCCACAACAGTTCCCTGAGTCAAAACTTAATCCAGAGCAACGCCCTAACTCTCTTCTATTCTGTGAAGGCTGAGAGAAGTGAGGAAGCTGCAGAAGAAAAGTGTGAAGCCAGCAGAAGCTGGTTCATGAGGTTAAGGAAAGAGGCCGTCTCCCTGACATACAAGTGAAAGGCGAAGCAGCAAGTGCTGATGTAGAAGCTGCAGCAAGTTGTACATGAGACCCCAGCTAAGGTCATTGATAAAAGTGGCTACACTAAACACCAGATTGTCAGTGTACACGAAACAGCCTTCTATTGGTGGGCTGCCATCTAGGGCTTCAGTAGCTAGAGAGAAATAAATCCCTAGCTTCCAAGCTTCAAAGGACAGGCTGAGTCTCTTGTTAGGGGCTAATGCAGCTGGTGACTTTTAGTTGAAGCCAGTACCCCTTTACCATTCCAAAAATCCTAAGGCCCTTAAGAATTAAGCTAAAAATCTCTGCCTGTGCTCTATAAATGGAACAACAAAGCTTGGATGACAGCACATCTGTTCACAGCATGGTTTACTGAAATTTTTGTGTTTCTTTTGGGGTTTTTTTTGGTGGCTGGCCAGTGTAGGAGTCTGAACCCTTGACCTTAGTGTTACTAACACTATAGTCTAACCAACTGAACTAACCAGCCAGCCCAATTTACTGAATATTTTAAGCCCACCGTTGAGACATACTGATCAGAAAAAAAGATTCATTTCACAATATTACTGTTCATTGACAATGTACCTGGTCACCCAAGAGCTCTGATGGAGATGTACAAGGAGATTAATGTTGTTTTCATGTCTTTTAACCACAATGTCTATTCTGCAGCTCATGGATCAAGGAGTAATTTCAACTTTCTAGTATTATTTAGAAATACATTTTGTAAAGCTATAGCAAAATAAATTGAAAACCTGGAAAGGATTCTCCATTCTAGATGCCATTAAGAACATTCATGATTATTCATGGGAGGAAGTCAAAATAGCATTAATAGGAGTTTGGAAAGAGTTGATTTCAACCATTGTGAATGACTTGTAGAGGTTCAAGACTTCAGTGGAGGAAGTAACTGCAGATGTGGTGGAAATAGCAAGAGAACTAGAATGAGAAGTGGAGCCTGAAGATGAGACTGAATTGCTGCAATCTCACCATAAAACTTGAACAGATGAGTTGCTTCTTATGGATGAGTAAAGAAATTGGTTTCTTGAGATGGAGTCTACTTCTGGTGAAGATACTGTGAACACTGTTGAAATGACAACATAGGATTTAGAATATTACATATACTTAATAAAGCAGTGAAAGGATTTGAGAGAATTGACTCCAATTTTGAAAGAAGTTCTGTTGTGCTACCAAACAGCATCACATAGCTACAGAGAAATCTTCTGTGAAAGGAAGTCAGTCGATACAGCAAACTTCACTTGTCTTATTAAGAAATTGCTCTTCTTAAGAAATTGCCATAGTCATCCCAGCCTTCAGCAACCAGCACCTTGAGTAGTCAGCAGCCATCAACATTGAGGCAAGATCCTCCACCAGCAAAAAGATTTAAGACTCATTGAAGGCTCAGATGATGATTAGCATTTTTTAGCAATAGAGTAATTTTTTTTTTAAAGATGACCGGGGACCGGCCCGGTGGCGCACTGGATAAGTGCGCTGCTTGGGAAGCGCGGCGGCGCTCCCGCCCGAGGGTTCAGATCCCACATACAGACCGGTTCCCGCTCACTGGCTGAGCGAGGCGCGGGAGCAACACCGAGGGTTGCAATCCCGTGGCCGGTCCCGGTCTGGTACGGGCGCGACACTGAGGGTTGCGATCCGTTGCCGGACACGGAAAAAGACAAAAGACAAAAAAAAAAAAAAAAAAGG